CACCCTGAACCTAAGGGCCGGGGTGGTTTCTCCTGAGGCTCTGGGGGTGGGGGGCAGGGGTGACCTATGAATGCACTGGGAGAAAGGGGGAGGTCCATGTTGGGTAGGGGGCTCAGCTCCGTGCTTCCTGTCATTCTGCCCTCGTCTGTGGGACTCCCCGGGATACAGTCACACATCCGTGCCTCTGCGGGATTTGACTGAGGGCTGCTGTACCTGTGGGATTAGTGCCGTGACCTGTGGGTGGTCTTGCTCAGTAAGTATGTGCTAGGTGAACGCATGGTGCTGGTGAAGGCAGGGAATGGCTGGGTGCGTGAACTTGTGCCATCTGGAGAGCAGACCTGAAGAGAAGGCGAGGGCAGTGCTTGCCACCACCTCTGTGGTCAGTGTCCTGTGAGGATGGCAGGGCCCGGAGGCCCCTCCTTGCCCAAGAAGCCCAAAGCAGTAAGGGCATCAACTCGGGGTCAGGAAGACCTAGGCTCCCCCTTGGTTCTGATACCATGGACTTCGGGCTATGTTCTTTTTTAAAAAAAAATATATTAATTTTTTTTGGTGTAAATGGACACAACACAGTGCCTTTATTTTTATGTGGTGCTGAGGATCGAACCCAGGTCCCGCCCTTGCTAGGGGAGCGCTCTACCACTGAGCCGCAATCCCAGCCCCTTCCTGTGTTCTTGAGAGAGACTGTGAGGACTCAGTCACTGAATGACTTGCTGAGCACTTACTCTGTGAAGATGCGGGGGATGCGTGTAGAACAGGGTGCCATGAAAGCATTTGTGGGGATCCACACAAGGGGCCCAGAGCCTGGTCCTCAAGCTGAGTCTGAGGGGTGCACAGGCCCCTGGGTGGGAAGTGGGAGTGGAGCATGGCAGGTGGAGAAGAGCGGGTCGGAGGGGCTGAGGTGGGGTGGGCGTGTTAGGGGAGAACCAGGCTGGTAAGGCCTGAACTGGGGGTGGGGGGGAGCATGGTGTGAGAGGAGAGAGGGTCAGAGGGCCCGCTCAAGGAGGGGCAAAGGCCATGGCACCTGTGCTTCACAGAGGAGACACTCTGAAGGTGTCTGGGTGGAGTGGCCGGAAGCTGTCGGGCTGCTGAATGGAGATGCTAAACCACGTGGGCCCCGGCAGCAGAGCAGGCTGCTGTGCTTCCCCAGCAGAGTCCAGGGGCTCGGGCTGGACGGCAACAAGGCGAAGGAGGGAAACAGACTGACCCGAGAGGTCCGGGAGGCAAACTTACAGCTGAGGAGAATCAGAGGTTCTTGCTGGACCTCAGGACCTCACCTGCCTATTGAGTGGAATGATCCAGATTCCCATAGAGAGGATGAGTCCCGAGGAATGAAGGGGAATCAAGCACAATGCGATTAAGAAATGCCATGTCACCAGTCACACGAGCTTAAATTAGATGCAACGTCCAAGCCTAACATCTTCCACACCAAGGCGGGGCCAAGGCGGGGCACTAGGTGGCTAGACCATCACTATTTGAAGCTGGAAGTGGGTGGGGGGCGACTCGTGGTTCTTGGTGGATTAGAAAGCTAGGGGAAAACAAAGGATGTGTTTGGGGGCCTAAGTTCTAGAAAAACTAACATTCTGGTCAGAATGGGCCTTTATGTGGAAAGTCGGTGGAATTTGGATTAGGAAGGGCTGCCTTTGAATCCCATTCATGCTACTTATTAGCTGTGTCACCTTGGTGGGTCACTTACCCTCTGATTCTTAATTTCCTCAGGGAGATGGTTATAGTTGCTTCAAAAGGCTACTGTGGGTATTAAGTGAAATAATATTGGTGAAAGTACTTCATCAGCTGCAAAACATTATTAAACTCTAGGGATCATCAAGAAAGTTTTTTTTTAAGTAAAAAAACTGGGTGACATTATTGAGTGTTAGTTTTGGAGTATTAGTAGGAGAACGTCTTGATCCCTAGGAGATGCAAGCTGAAGTATTTAGGAGTAAAATGTCAAGATGCTTAAAATGTTCGAATGCTCAGGAAACAAAATTGCATGGTCCACTGAGTTATCTAACTACATATTCACCCATTTCCATCTTCATCTGTATCTTGAGAAGATGTGGCAAAAGACAGCCGGAGGGTATCAGTGTTTACTAAGATACTTTAATTTTTCAGTAGACTTAAAAAGTTTCATAATGGAAGGAAGGGAAGTCAGTTCCTGGGGGAATGTAAATGGGGAAGGTGAAGTGACACCTGGAGGTAACAAAGGACAAAGCTCCGTGACCATGGGGAGAAGCTGTGGCCTTCAGCAAGGAGGAAGCACCTGGACTCCTCTCCCAGCTCCTCCTCTCTCCTCTGGGTGCCTGGAGGCAAGTCCAAGGGCAGAGGCCCCAAGATAACATCCAGGAGGTGGCCCCCCAGGGCGTGGGGAGTGACAGGCGGAGAAGGCCCAGGGTGGGCGTGCAGGGCGCTGGGGAATAACCAGCAGCCCTCCTTTTGCAGGGAATGCCAGGCAGAAGTGAAAACCCTTCTCTTCTCCCAGCCAGGCTGAAGGCTAAGAAACAGGAAAGAGATGGGCGGGCGCCAGGCCTTCCCTTGTGAAGTGAGATCTGTGGTTGGATCCTGGGAATATTTTCTTCTTGATTAGAGAATGATGCATGAGGAGAAGCTGGTCCCTCCCTCTGTGATTTTGGACAGGATCATGTGAGGACAGGATGCCAGGGCTGCCACCGCCACGAGAAGGGCAGCCCCTGAAGGGCCCTGGCGCAGGTCAGTGACAGCCACACCTGAGCACCTGCTGCCATGCTCCCAAGGCCTTGGCAGTGGCTGTTTTCTCTGGCCACCACCAGCATTCTAACTGGAGCACAGGTCAAGGTCAGCGTGGCCTCCTTGTCTCATTTCCTGTGGCCATGCCCCCCCCCCCATTCCCTTCTGATGTAACAGGAAGCAAAACACAACCCAGACAAGGAAATGGACTGAGAAAGAGGGCAGATTGAGAGACCTCAGGTGCCACCTGAGGGTTCCAGGGGACGGTGCTTCGGCTTTGGACCCAGCACTCCGCGACCCACCCAGACCCCTCTAGCTGCCTTGGCTCAGCTGCCCACCACCTCCCGGCTTCCGTCTGTGGCGCTGCTCCTCCCTGTGACCTTTGAGGACTGCTCCTGGGGCCATCACGTCACACCGAGAGCCCAGGGCTGTCAACGACCATCCCACTAACCCACGTGGAGCACAAACCCTTGCAGCGCCTTAGGCTCAGGCTGCACAAACCGCTGTGGCGTGGGGAGCCCTCCGGGGCAGGCGGGCCAGGCACTGCTCCTTCCCAGCGCCAGGTGGGCTCCTCACCTTCCTTCTGCAGCTCCCTGTGCTTTTGAGAGCTGTCCCAGGAGCACTAAAGGATGCAGAGGTGTGAAACCACACAGGGAGGCTGGGGGAAAAAACATCCTCCAGACTTCCACTGAAAACCTGGCCACAGCAGGTGACCCTGCACAGACCACCCACACTAGCCCCAGGGTGTCCCTGCAGACTGAGCTGACAAAGCCCTTTTGTGCTTAGCTTAGACTCTCCCCCAAGGACTGACTTCATTTGCCAGTGGCTTTTCTCCCCAGTGTCCTCCACTTAGGCCAACCTACAAGCCATGCGTTTACATGAAGGCCATGTCTGCATCTTCGGTCACTCTGCCCTGATGGGTGCATTCTCTATAGGGCAAGAAACAGGAAGTCCACAGGAGGACAGGGACATCTGCGTGGCCTGGGCTTACCTATCTTTCCCCTCTAAGGCCCCTCCCCTGCAGCCCTTGCCCTCTGCTGGCCGCGGCTGGCTGGAGTGTGCCGTGGACATCTCCTCCCTTGTTGCTCATGCCACTCCAGAGCCACATCAGTCCTCTCTACCCTGCGGCACTGAGACTCACCTGAGAACTCTTCCAAAGTACACAGATGCCCCACCTTCTCCTCCCCTCCACTTCCTGCCTGGAATCTGGCCCAGGGCTCAGGTGTGGGTTTCTTCCAGCAGGTGACGCCAACTGCAGCCAGGCCCAGTCCTGCTGCTCCTCTGTAGGGAGCACCTGTGCTGGGCACGCCTTCCCCGGGCCTGGAGGAGGGGCCGTGGAGCCTCAGGCCTCCCTCCTGCCATCCGGTTTTGATAAAGTAATGCTTTCTTTAAAAACTCAAGTATGTGGCTTCTCTGAAACTGATCATGGTCAACTGTTGGGAGCACCCCAGGACGAGGTCAGTGAGCCAGAAACCTGGAGACCCGGCACTGCTCCTCCTAGGGTCAGGCTTCCTGTGAGCTCTCCTGTGGATTCACCCTAAGGCGCTCTGCTTCCTTGCTGAGGGGTGTGTGTGGGGGGGGGTAGAGGGAGGACTGGAGTCCCGGGCTCACATTCTGCTTCCTTAGAACGAGTTAACTTACTTCTGTGAAGTGCTTACTAGATTGCAAACATTGCTTTTTAAAACCCCATAGTTAATCACTAGACAAAAGGCAAGAATAATTTTCCAAGGCACACTCAGAGGTACAACTCTGAATAATAATGCAGCCCTGATAAAGCCATTCTCACTTTCCTGCTCTATTTACGGGGTGCGGTGGGGAAGCAGAGCTTGATCTTCAACTGAATAACATAAACTTTAGTGACTGCTCAGAAAAATGGGCTTCTCCCTAGTCTTAGCACTCTACGGCCCACCGTCTGCACGGAGTCTAAGAAAGGGGTTTGGGTCATTCTCACCGTGGCACTTAAGGAAATTCTGACTTTTAAAATGAATTTTGGGCACTTCCTATTTCCTTCTCTTTGATGGTTATTCTATGAATTCTCATATTTTCCTTTCTCCCATGTCCGCTAATTAAGAAAGATATTATGTTTTTTTTTTAAAGATAGACTTTATTCAGCGAGAAAGAGAGAGAGAGAGAGAGAGAGAGAGAGAGAGAATTTTTCAATATTTATTTTTTAGTTCTTGGCGGACACAACATCTTTTTTTTTAATTTATTTTTTTTTCAGAGAGAGAGAGAGAGAGAGCGAGAGAGAGAGAGAGAGAAAGAATTTTTAACATTTATTTATTTTTTTTTAGTTTTCGGCGGACACAACATCTTTGTTTGTATGTGGTGCTGAGGATCGAACCCGGGCCGCATGCATGCCAGGTGAGTGCGCTACCGCTTGAGCCACATCCCTAGCCCCGGACACAACATCTTTATTTTATTTTTATGTGGTGCTGAGGATCGAACCCAGCACCCCGCGCCTGCCAGGCGAGCGCGCTACCGCTTGAGCCACATCCCCAGCCCAAGACATTATGTTTTAATAAAAACTCTTTATTTGAGCAAGTATACAACATCCAGTTCCTGGCTTATGTAGAAAAATAAGATCATTCATTTGGCCCCAGGTAAGGAAACTAATGAATTTAATGAATGATATCTACCATTCTTATCAGCTTGGGGTGGTAAGTAGGTGCAACACTAATCTACTGCACAGGAGCCAGCCTTTCTAATCCTTAAAATTCTGAGTTATCACTTGTACTGAGGGGAAATGTCACCATTTCTGAGCTCACACCTGCCAGCTGTGCTATGGCCACTGTCCACTGCTTTGTGGCTTTGCCACCCTTCCAGTAGACCAGTGGGTCAGAACCCTGGCTGCCTGTGCACAGCACTTGGGCTTATGACACAGAGACAGATGTGTAGGCACCAGGCTCCGAGATTCTGATTCCAATGGCCTGGGACAGGGCCTAGACAGAGGTGGATGCCATGAGATGCCAATGAGCAGGTGGGTTCTGGAACCACTACCAGCTCTTCCTAGTCGCTGAGCAATAGTGTCTCCTCCATCTGGGATCCCTAGCAGCTGCAATGGGGTCGGCGTAAGACAGACACAAGTCTGCTGTGAATTACATACTGAACATACCTGGAAAGCCCTTGGAATCGTGGTACCAAGACACTGCAGCATCACCCCCTTCTGATGGATTCCCCCCTGTGTATTAAGCAAGGAACCTCATACTGTTATTCTGAAGACAGGATTGCTCTAACCCTAACTTACATTGTAAACCCGGGCCCCGTGGCTTTGCTTGTTAATACAGACGATGCCACAGCGCTGGAGTCAGTGGAAGCAAGTCCATATATTAAAAAGAAACATTATTATGGTATTTAGAAATGCATGGCAATAGACTTTGGCCTTATGAAGTAAAATAGCACAGATATCAAAGTTACCTAATCACTGCACAGATCACTGCTCAGAGTAAACAACCATTTCTTCCACGTAGTTTTCAGGAAAAAATTTAAAATAGCCACCTGAATACAAAAGCAGAAGACTGTTCATTTTCAGTCTTAATTTTGGCTGGCTGGTTAGTTGGCTGGTTGAGCCTTCATTCACTCATTTACCTAGGGCCTCTTGAGCCTTTCTTTTTGTATGAGGCCCTGTTCTAGGCACTCGGCCATAGAGGTGAACTCAAGTGACGTGTGCCTGATCTCACGCAGCAGGCAGACTGCATATGACTCATGAAATGGTAAGTGCCGTGAGCCAAATGAAGCAGGCGGATCTGAAGCCCAGGGAGAGAGTCGGGCCCTAGTGGTCAGCGAGGGCATCTGAGGAGGTGACCTGGGAGCTGAGACCCGAATTTCTAAGGACAGGAGATCGTAGCCACACAGGTCCAGAGGCAGGGTTGAGCTGGAAGGCTGAGCAACAGGAAGGCTGGAGACTTCACACAGAGAGCAGCGTGGCTGTAGGGCACCTGCAGATCACCTGGGCCTGTGCGTGGAGAGGAGCCTGGGGAGAAGCAGGTAAAATGCCCAGTGGCGCCATCGCTTCTCACTTACAGAACTGCTCCGACAGAGGGGTCCACACGGAAAGTTGATAATATCGAGTGAGTTTTCTTGTCCTGGGAAAGCCACTCCATCGGGCCAAGCGTCACCTAACCCCTGAAGTAAAAAATAATAATAAAGGTGCTCCTTGACTAATGATGGGATCATGTCTCAATAAAGCCACATTTAAGTTGAAGATATCATAAACAAAAAATGCTTTTAACACATGTAACCTAGTGAACATCACAGCTTAGGCTAGCTTACCTTAAATGTGCTCAGAACGTTTTCATTAACCTCAAGTTGGGCAAACTCATCTAACACAATGTCTATTTTATGGCAAGGTGTTGAATAGCTCATTAAGGTTATTGCATATCTGTATCCAAAATGCTTTGGAAACAGCACACAGCAGAGCATCGGCCCCTTCCCCTCTAGACGGTGGGCTGCCCAGGAGCTTGGCTCCCTGGTGCTTGCTGCCCAGCATCGCGGCAGGAGTGACTGCAAACTGCCCATCCAGGAATGGCCGGGATTCAGAATCCAAAGCACAGTGTCTGCTGAATGCACTTCACTTTTGCACCACTGTACAGTTGAGAAGTCCTAAGTTGAACCACTGTAAGCAGGGCGTTTCTTTTCTTCTTAGTGCTGGATGGGAGCAGGAATGCTTGGCCAAATCATAAATACACTGTGCCCCTAGCTATCCACGTGGCTCATCTTTTTTCTTCATTTAAACCTCTTCCAAATGCCACTTCCCCAAAGAGGCCCTGCTCCTATCACCAAGACTGTCCTTCTCCCCAGCTGCTGGTGATCCTGGGTCTTACCGCTACTTGATATCCCATCTTCCCCCTCCCCACAGGAATGCAAGATCCCGAGGTCAAGGACTTCATTAGCTTTATTTTCTGCTGTACTCAGCACAATCCTTGGTACACAGTAGGTGCTTAATAAATATTTGTTGAATGAACTTTGAACAAATGCTCCTGGGTTTTGATGCATTTATCCAGGCACAAAGGACGTAAGACAGCCCCAGTGTTCCTGGCTGCTATTTCCCAAGCACATTCCTGTCCTTTCTAATCTTTCTGCCTTAATCACTTTAAATGTACTGACAAGCACAATTGACCAATTAATAGCGCTTATGCTCTTGTTACATCATTTGTAATCCATGATGCTCTTTCTATTTGCGATGGCCTTTCAATTTTTCATGACTCAAAATGGAGGACATGCATAATGAATACAAATAGCAAATTGATTAAATGTAATGCATATTCTACTGCTTGCTGGGTTTATGCCTGTTATTAATGACAGAAATCCAGCAAATTCTCATGAAAACACCAATGACATACAACCTCAATGCAAAATGTTGGAGCACTAGGGGTCTTAAATTTTCCTAATTACTGAGCAACAGCAGACATTAATTTCCCAGACGGCAACCTTTGTAAATAAGAACATTGGCATGGCTTCTTTGTCCAAATTCTTTTTGCTGAGCACAAAAACCATCATGCAACCCACAGACTGTTTGTGTGTGTTTGAGAGAGAGAGAGAGAGAGAGAGAGAGAGAGAGAGAGAGAGAGAGAGAGAGACACTTGAGAGACTGGCTTATAAGCAAAGTATAAAGGATGCCACTTGTGTGAAATCAAATTTATTGTCTACTACAGGGATCTCATAGTTTTTGGAATGCTAATATACTGTGATACAGATTCCACACAGCTTCTGCAGGTGTACTGAGCATTAAAACATCACAAAGGTGATAAAGCAAAATAAGAAAGAAGATCTGGACAAGAGTCTGAAATGGATAATAAGATAAAGCAGGCACTGTTAGGAGATCAGCTTTGCTGGGGTACAGTATTAGTCTTGGTCTCAGCCTGCCAAGGACAGGCTGGTTTGCAATAAGTGACTATGTGGACACATCTTATTTTTCCATTAGCAGAGAATCTTCTGGGAAGCAGGTGTTTTCTCTGACACACTGGTAGATATGGTAGTGAACTTACCTAGGTTTGTACTGGGAAATAGCAAAGCTTGTCTGCTAGATCTGAAAAGACAGGGGATGATGTAGACAGGAGCATTTTTCAAGCACCCATGCCTTGAAACCATCACCTTCACAGTGTGCTGACAGCAGCTATGACCATCCCCCCTTCTAGTACAAACTGGCTGTCTTGCAGAAGGAAGGCTGAATGAGAGAATGGATAGCTGTGGTCTTGGTTCACTCCCTGACAGGTCTGCATCCATGATGAAGTGGGCTCTGAATGGGTGGAATTCCAAACCTAGGGGAAGCAGGAGTCTGCCAAAATGTGCCCTGCTAATTTGGGACCCACAGTGATTTTGGCAAAACCTAATCCAGGTAATTCCCCTCTGCTTTTGAAAGTGTGTAAACCATCTTAGGTCAGAAAACCCAGAAGACACCCAGAGCCAAGGATTTGAGAGTGAGAGGTTGACTGGGAGGTGGAGAGTACCTGGGGAGGTGAGAGGGAAGTGAGACGGGGAAGGGAAGATGGCCAGACAATGAAGGGTTCATGATGACGTAAGCCACAGTTACATTTCACAGGGAATCTGGGGAATGGTGCAACACCCATGCCTCAACATGACTTCAGCTAAGGGGAGAGGGGGCTGGGGTACCTATATTACCATATGTAACAGAGGTTTATTCAAGTGCCCAAGAGATGTCATTTCCCAGGTACTTTCAGTCTCCCAGGCCTATGGACCAAGAGGATTTCAGGAGCCTAAGGGCAGCCTGTCTGGCAAAGACATAACAAATATGAGTGAAGCATTGGCAGAATCTGCTACATAAGTCACCCACGGGCTCAGGGTTCCCTCCTGCATATACAAAACCCACCCCAATCTCAAACTTCTGAAGGCTTCACCATTCATCATCATTAAAATGTCTGATTATTGCACCTAGTGCCCTGAGCACACTGTTGAATGTGGCTTGGAAGGTAATCAAACTAACAGACTTTCCTCACTGAATTTTCCAGTTTACAGAATAGGCAAGACAGATTTCTTGCAAAAATTTAGGAAATACACATGCCCTCCTCCCCCACTGTCATATGTCTATGTGAGAGAATAAAGAATTCACAACTAGTTCTAAAAAAAGAGTCCAACTAGGAAGAGAAATACATTCACAGACCATAGAGTAAGAGAAAGTGACAGAACTAACAGGCAAAAAGGAAGGAATATTTTATTTATTAAAATTGGAAAAAAAAAGGGACAAAAATTCTTGGTACCTTTAAGCATTTTTCCCAGATGAAGCCTAAGGTTTATAAATCTGTGCTGGAACATTCCCATTGTTACCTGGAATCTGGTTGTCAGGTCCTCTTATGTCCTGGAATTCATCCTTTAAAGCCAAAGAATTCCTCAGCACCTTCACTTCTTTTGATGTCTTAGTTGTAAAAATACTTTCTTAATGTCTAAAAATAAAAATCACACCAATTAGCATTTATTTAGTGCCTACTATGCTGACTTGTTTTGCATGTGTTAGTTGACTCTGTGACTACTCACAGCAACCTGTGGTTAACTCTTAGTTTCCCTGTCTCACAGAGAAAGAAGCTGAGGCTCTGAACCCAAGTGATCTGACTCCAGAACTCACATTTTTACATTATCTTTTTCTCATGTGCCCTTATTACTTCCCTTGGTACTCAAATGTTTTTACAAACATAAATCCTGTCTTAATTATTTCTGTTCCAAGGATGTGAGGGTCTGACATTCACATTTATGGCAAATGTAACAGCCTCATGTGAACTTCATTGTAAGACAGAGCCCATTCAAGGAGCAGAGAGACCAGCACTTGGTTTCTCCAACAGCACACCCAGGTCTTGCACTAGCAAAGTCTTGTGAGTTTCATCTCACACCCATCTTAAAGACATCTGCTCTCTAAATCTAGGGAACCTCACTGTGGGATACAGGAAATCAATTTTGATTGCATCTCTTGGCTACCATGAGCCTGTCCAACCACTGGACTCTATATTGAGTAAAAGGTGAAAAATGCAAATGGCACTGCATTCTGACTAGCTTCTATTGGCATTTACTAAATAAAAGAAGGATGCGTGTGGTTAGAGATGGAAGTGCTGCTTAGAAAGCACTTGAGCAATTGCTTAGACTCACATTTATTATAGTGTGATCCTGAGCCTAAAAAAGAATCGACATTTTTTTTCTCCAGTCAGGCTCATAAACGCAGACCCAGAGAGGCCTCTCCTTCTTCTAAACATCTCTTCAGGAGGAGATCAGAGGGGAAAAGCTCAAGCTTGACAGTGTAAAAAGCTTATGGTTTGCTTTTCCACGGTATTTCTATTACAGTGTAAGTGTGGATGTGGCATAAGCACATATGCACGTAAATGCTGTTTGCTAAATTTAAAAGAAAGATGGTTTTCCCACTTCTAACACTTAAGGGCTTATAAAAGATAATGCCTTAAGAGCCAGCAAAATCCACTACTACATACAGATAAAGGACCCTCTGATTTTGCTAAATATTTAGAGAACTGATCTAGAGAAGGACCACAATAGGAACTACCAAAGTTAGTCTGGGTAAAATGATCTGGGTAAAATGCACCTCAGGAATGGTTCTGTATCCAAGAGCCGGTGCGGGGCGTGTGCACAGTGTCCACATACACTCAAGAGAATAGGTAATATTTTACGCCAAAGCATTTAAGAATTTCATCATTTTGTCTTGTGCTTTCCACATGTTTGTGTTCAGTAACAATAGCAGCTTTGGAAGTGTCAGGCCCAAATCAGTCAGGAGGATTCATTTAGAAATTGTGACAGGTTACAATGTGCCTTTATTTAATCTCCACCGATATCTATTACCCAGGGCTGCTGTGGCTGAAGTGTGGCCTGCATGGCTAGACTCTCTTATCAGAAGCCCACAAAGCCCACACCATGGACACACATGTGGCACTGAATGGCACAGTGTGGGGAGGATGAGGAGGCAGGCAGGTGTGCAGAGTGTGCTGAGACCCTTTAGACGGCTGTCACATCTCCTGATGTGGCACAGCTCCAGGCTGTATTGACAATAACACCAATGAGGACATTGTGTGTCTGTCTACCTTGGCTCAAATACTCAGAAATGAGTGTAGGGACAGGATATGACATTGCAGGATATGCACACCGATCTCCCAAAGATGGCGTTATCCAGACAGACCACTAAATTAAAAGAAGTCAATACATATTTCAAGAAGTCATTAACTGAGTCATATATTTACAAAGTATGGTCACAGTGTACTGCTGATTACGCTTTCTTAGGAACCTCTTAATAATTGGAACCATGACATACAGGATGATAATGACCCAGATGATGTTAAATTGAAAACTGCAAACACTAATGACAAAACAGGTAAGCAGGCTAAAAAATGGAAAAAGCATGGTGAATCAAAAGTCTCTTTCTAACCAGTTCAGCAAATTTCACAAACCCCAGATCTCTGAAATTGGAACATTATAGAAAATAGGGATGCGAAATTAGAAAGGAACTCAATAAGGTTGGAAAACACATCTACGGTGTTGAAATGTCGCAGGTAACAGCTGAATAACAAAGATGAGAGTTGATTTTGAATATGTGATGGGAAACCTCTAGCACCAACTTGGCAGTGGGGAGGGGTCAGTTCAGAGGCAGCAGGATTGAGGAAAACTGAAGGTTCAAGAACCCAATGGGGGTAAAATTTGCCAAACATAACCCAATGAAATAAGTGGGGAGAGAAGCGTTGATATGTAGAGGATCTAGAAAAGTGCTTTTCCCTTGCTAGTCATTGATATGTAGAGGATCTAGAAAAGTGCTTTTCCCTTGCTAGTCAACGGCTCCCCTGAAACGCAGGCTGCTCACCTATGACATATCGTGATAAAGCAGAATGGGATTTTTGCTTCTTGGAAAAGGCAAACTGGATAAAATGCTGAAATATGCAGTCAAGCCTTATTTTTACTTTGCTCTGTTTCACTTAATTTTATTTTTAAGCTAATGCTTATGTTATACTCAACCATGTGTCTGCATCATTTATAGCATTTCATAAGCAATAACCAGTTTGATCTTCTTAACAAATCTAGAAAGTGCTGCTATTACCCTATTGGATAGATGAGAAACTGAGGTATGGAGAGGTAAGTCCCCCAAAGTCACACAGCCAGCAGCTGGGGCTCGACCCAGGCTGTTAGGCCCAGGACTGACCCCCTGTGCGGTCTACCTCGTGAGCAAAGGATCAACATGGCACATTTTCTCACTCTGATTTCTGAGCTTCTGAACCTCGGGAAGATGGAGTGAATGTATGGAAGAATTCTGGATGCTGTAGGAGAGGAACAGTAATGAGGAAACTTGACCTTAAAATGGATACATTGTCTTTATTGTTAGAGTCTGTAAACAAGTCTGGATGGCACCTGGCATTTTGCAGAGGGAGTGGTTTGTGAAGTAAAGCCAGCGAGCCATTAAGTGTGGAGATTCCTTATTGGTTGACTGCTGTATCTAGTTTATGTTAATTAGATAAGCTGTGTGGAATGTATAAATACCCTTCCTGTCCTACAATAAAGGGCTCCCACTCCTGCTGTATCAATCTACACAAGTTCCTCATCACCCCCCGGCTATTTTGCTGCTGCCGGACTGTGGCGTTTATAACTAAACATGAGACCTTAAGGATCCTTTAGAGGATTAAATTGGTGTTACACAAAAAATAAAACAAGAGGGTAGATGGATTGGAAAGATACATATTTTTTTTCTGTTATTCCACAATGATTTTCACACTCGGATCAGCTTAGAAAACAACCAGGACAAATGGCCAAGAATAAAATTCCCCCAGTGTTACTGCCTCATTCTAGAGGGAATGGTGTGCCGCAGCATTCTTAAGTGTTTCCTGCCACAAAGGCGGGGCAGGTGCCAATGGTAACAGCTCCCCCAAAACCATAGCCTAATAGAATGACGTCTTGGGGTAAACTGCTCTTCCCTACAAAGATGTCAATTAATCACCCTCACCTTCAGTCTTTGTTCCTTATAGTTGTGATCTTATCAATAAGATAACATCGTTCACTCATGTATTCATTCAACAGTCATAGAGCTCCAATTTAGCACTGAGATGATCCCAAAATGAATGAGACAGACACAGTGTCCACTCCTCAGGAAGCCCACTCAGAGAATACGGATTAAAAAAAAAATGTGAGAGGTGCTTCTGGATCAGTATGGTGGGATGAACACACACGCTATTTCCTCTACAAATGAAACCCCACTGCTAAGAGAGTAAATGCCAAATTTCCATTTCTAGACCAAACCAAGTAACAGACACTCATCTTACCTAAGACCAGGAAAGAACGGGCAGAGTATGTGAAGCAAGAGGTGCCAGACCACAGACACCAGCCAACAAAAAGCAGTGCTCCCCAAGGGGGGAAGCAGACGAGATGCGCCCTGCGGCGGCTGAGTTTCCTCCTGGAGGGAAGTCCCAGGCCACAGCTAAAGGAGGATTGAAGCCAGGGAGAGCACTGATCCCTGGAGTCGAGAAGTGTGGGGTCTGAGAGAACCTAAGCTGATAGAGTTTACAGAGAAGAGAGCTGGAGAGGACCCAGCTGCCCAGAGACTGCTCTAGAGACCTGGAGATGCCCCCCGTCCTTGAGTATTCAGTTGACTATTGGAAGGTGCATGCATGTGAGGACACTCCGGAGGTCAGGTGGAAACCACACAGAAGGGTTAGAAATGGTTCATTTTACTCATACAGACTCAGGAATAGGAGTTATTTCCACCAGTCAAACTGGACAACATCCAGATCATTGGGTTATAGAGAAAACTTGGCCTTCATTGTGGGGAATAATTAATTAGCCCTCAACCAAACAGTGCTTGGGTACCACATAACAAATCTTTGAAGTAAGTACGAAGGATAAAACTGTTTCTGAATTGTAGGTCAGATTGAAGAGTGAGGATATTTATAGGAATATGAAAGTATCCTGCACCAACAAAGTAAATTTAATAATATCTGGCACATGGTCAAAAATTACTTAGCATACAAAAAAATCAGGAAAGTAGGGTCCATATGAGAAGATAAATCAATCAAAATAGACCTCAAATTAATACAGAATTAGTAAAGATAACTTAAAAAGTTATTATGAACTGCATTATACATGCTCAACAAGTAGAGACATAGAACATATTTTCAAAAGGCTGAAATCAAATTACCAGAGAGGAAAACTACAATGTTCGTTTAAGAGAAAGATTACATTGGATAGGCATGATAGAAAATTAGACATTGCAGAAAACAAGATGAGTGAACTTAAAGACATGGCATAGAAAATGATCAAAACGAAAGGCAAGAGAATGGCATAAATGAGCAGGGAATTGTGAGCTGTGAGATGACTTTATGTGGCCTGAACACGGGAGCCTCACTCTCTAAAACAGAGGGCAGGACAGAAAAACAAAATTCATAAAAATAATGGCTAAAAAATTTTCAGTTATGAT